TGCAATCAATTATGACGTGGCAATCGATTACAGCTCACAACAAATCGTTGCTATTGGACCAATGAACGTCGTGACTCCACTCAAGTTTAAAAATGAAGCCCCTGACTCCATTGGACGATTGGTACCTCCACCGGAGTCACCAGACTGTATACTTTTTTTGACTTATATCCAGCCATACAATAATTGCTTTCAAATGACGTCATTTGGCGCAACAAAATTCATCCTACATAATTTTATGCCTACTTTCAAGGTAAGTTGATGAGGGAATGACAGTGCTGCCAACGTATTTTGCTAGCCACATGGCGGTACAAACACTTCGCTATACAATTACCTATATTCCATATACATATTTACCCTTTTATTATTCATTATTCATTCCACTTCATATCTAACTGGCAGGAGTTTTACTCGAAACTGAACATATGCATATGTGGTGTCACTCCTGTTTATGACAGGATACCTGAGGTTATGAGCATCGCGGTAGCTAAACCTTATTTCACTAGTATCCATCACGTTTTCACATCTACTGAGGTAAACAGCTGATCAGCAAGTGACGTCTTAAAATATTACCAGATAATCAGCTATTATTCTACCGCAATGGATACTCGTGAAAAAGACAATATTGTCAGTAGTAGGATATACATTTTTATTATAAGTGTCCTTGATTTTATAGACAGAAAACGCGGCAAAACGATTAGGGTCCATAATCACTAATGTCACTGAGTATAACATTTCCTCCAAAGGAACTGTTTTGTTTTTCATATGCATAAACAAAGTCTATAGCAAACATATAGCACCTTATCTATTTTTTACCTCCTACGTCACTGGCGCGGAAGTATTGTGATCGCAAAAATGAGATATTGCGCATTAAACAATGTTACTACTATTCCCAAGACGCAAAAGCAAAATCGGTCCAGTAGCGGCGGAGAAAAAGGCAAAAAACAAAAAAATAATCGTTCAAACATTCTTTGACGTTTCAGATGATCTTGATCATTTTCGGAAATTTTTTTGTAGGGGTTAAAAATTGGGGGTTAGGGTGTCAATTTTTTTACGTTGGTATATTTATGCGCCTCCAATCCCAGTTGTAGACACACTGATGACAGCGTTGCGTAGGAGTTGCAGAGTCAACCTACTTGACGCCATTTTTCAACTCTCTGTTGACAAACCATTGTTTCGATAGATTGAGATACCCTTCTAACAGCTGGCAAAAAATGCCGCGTTAGTGTTTTTAATTGATGAACCTGTCAATTTCAGTCAAGTTCATCCGTTGTAACTTTTTGACAGGGGTTGGGAGTTTCATTAATATCCGTCCATTGCTTTCCATCCTCCACGTGAAACTGTTGTGCGGAAAATATTAATTTTTTCCGTCCAACCCCCGACGAGGATGTGATAATCCTCATAACCGTTTAAAACTTTTTGGTTGATTGCATATGGAACAAAATTAATATCCTTCCTGTGAAACAAAATTACGTAACTCCTCAAGTTTTTTGCTAGCCATTGGAAGGATGAAAAATATTCCTCTGCCTTCCAAGCGGTTTTTGTCATTTTGTTCCTATTGTACTCCGATCGAAAGGGATTTTAGATCATGGTACTGAAAATTTTGAAATTTACTCGGTCATTCCAAAAACCTCATAAGTCCCACAATTTTAATTTTCCAGTGGACAGAAAAACTCACTGACAAATAAACCAGATTTAAAGAATATTTTTGGACTTAATAATGAGTTTTCTTGATATTTTGTTTTAGCAAGAAATAGGGTGAGTTGTATACAACTAAAGCTAAATAATCGTATTTTTTGTTGCTTCATTGAAAATTACATTTAAATATTGACTTATCAGCTGACATGTTTCGATTTTGCATCTTTTGATATCTTTGAAGAAACTAGGGTAAAACGAAGACTCCAATAAATGGATTTTCCCGTTTTACATCCATGAATCGGCCATCTTGAAAAAGTCCATTGGCTTATTCTTTCAACCTTCCTTTTCTTTTTTTATTCCGGAAGCAGCCGCACAGGCAGAAGCCTAAATACCAGGACACCACCGCTGTTATGAGTCGATTAAAGAAATTTTGTTGATCCGATTTTTGAACTATCTAAAGTTAGTAGAACTTGAAAACGCGTCCTCAGGTAGATTGTTCCACAATCCCTAGGAACAAAGGAGCGGTCGTATCGGCCTGTTCTGTACGTATGAAGTTCGACACGGTTAGGTTGGGAGGCCAGAGTCTGGCGGGTCTGGCTGGCAAGTAGTAATCGGTGATCTAGACTCAAACCAGCCGAAATGAACGTCTCTTTGGCATTTCTTGTTTATTTGACGACCAGACAGCAGAATGTATTTTTTCAATTCATTAGAAAACCAGCTATTAGTCTATAATGCTTTCTTGAAACCAATTTGGACATATGGCATCCACAACGAGCAACAGCAACATTGCCATTCTTCAGCGGTTCCAGAAACAGGTCGTACGATCAAGGATGTGATTTTTTTATGCACCAACTATCACGAAGGCCTAAGGCCTAAACACCCATGGGGTACCGTGGGGCTATGGGAGGATACAGGGGAAAGGGGGGACGCCACACGGACTCTGGCGAGGGAACACGTGTGCATGCAACATGCACACATTCTGGCCCCGCCTACGAGATCCGCCGCGTTCGACACTCAGAGACCGGCTACCACCTACGGACAATCACAACGTCCATAGCCAAGGGAAAAATTGCTCTTGGGACGGGATTCGAGCCCGCGCAGCGCACGGCGACTGAACAGGAGACCGAAGAGTCTACTACTGCGGCCACCGCTGCTGCCTAATGTGTGTAAAAATAAAAAAAAAATGTTACCTTGTTTTATAAAGTATCCTCCCGACAAGTATTTCAGTGCGGACCTGTATTTGATCGTGAGGTCTTGGAGCACCGGCATGCCCTCCCCTGTGAGGTCTTAAGTCACCTGATTCACGAGCCCGTTGTACTACATTAACAAAGGCACGAGGGGTTGGTTGCACTCGATTGGGAAACCGATCCGCATAAACATATATTGCCCAGACGGGCAGACAAACGATAAAAATAAAGTACGGCGCTTTGCAAAATTCCGTTTTTTAACTACGCCCTGAAGATGTTTTAGTAGGGATGCGCATAGAATCTTTCAGGAAAGCTTGTTCGAGGAACAATAACGCAGGTATAGAAAACTACTCCAAAGATCTCGCTTGGTAGAAGTGCTGTTTTTAAAATACGTTGGGTATAGCCGTCCACGCGAGTATCTTCGAGCCAAATGATGTAACTTGTTTACAACGAAACCTTGTGACTGTCAAGAGTATCGATATGTTTTCTTTGGCTAAATTTGCGTAGAAATGTCTATTCTTCTGAAAACTTACCTGGAAGGGCAATTATAGTCAAATTGAAAATGTTGAAATAAGTTAGATTGCATGTTAATGGGATAGAGCACTTTCAAACAGAAATTAGCGAAACGCCGAAAGGGGTGCACAACTTTTTACTTTTAAATGACTTATTTATGAAACTTTAGATGTTATGAAACGTGGCAGGCCTGTTTCCCATGGAACAAAAGTGACCTATTGAACAAAATATTGATATGATACCCAACAATAGGGTCACTGCGCGCCCGAGATATACAGGGTGAAGCCAAATAAATGATATTACCATGATTCTCCATAGCTTTTTTATTTGAGGAGTAATTAAAACGAAACAATTTTTTGAAGAGCTATACTAATGGGAAAATAATCGTCATTTTCTGCTTCACATAGCTGTGCTGTTTCCATAGCATTTTCTATAACCTTTTGCAAGATTTCTAGAGTGATAACTGCGATATCACAGTGAGTATTGCCATTCAAGTAGGTATTGTTTCTTGGCTGACACATAGACAGATATTCATTCAAATACCCACGAAAGAACAACTCAGATGCGCTTAAATCCGGTGAATGATTCTGAACAAAATCTTGGGTAAATAATAAATTCATAAAGTGCTTCTTTGGCTTGTTGGATAAAGAATTGTTACTGCTATTAAATTAAACCCTACGTTTTTCTCATGTAGTTTTTCATGCTGAACACATATCCAATTTGAGGGTCGGTGGACAAATTTTACAGTAAACGTATAAAAATGATCCGGTGGTACACAAAAAAATGAAAAGTGGTGGTCTCACTATACAGGATGTTTTGAAAATCGAGTCATATATTTTAACTGCTTGTAGGACTCGTCAAAATGAGTTGATATACAAAAAATCACTTATACAGGGTGACTTTGAAGTTGAGCCATTAATTTTCAGATAATGATTGTAAAAGGAAGATAAACCAAAATATGTGTGTAAAAATAAAAAAAAAATAAAAAAAATGTTACCTTGTTTTATAAAGTATCCTCCCGACAAGTATTTCAGTGCGGACCTGTATTTGATCGTGCGGTCTTGGAGCACCGGCATGCCGTCACCTGATTCACGAGCCCGTTGTACTACATTAACAAAGGCACGAGGGGTTGGTTGCACTCGATTGGGAAACCGATCCGCATAAACATGTGCCATTTTTCATTTCGTTTGAGCCACGCAACAGACACCACTATTCACACACGCGTTACCGACTGACACTGACTGTATACAAATGAATAAAATAATTGTAAAAACATCGTTCCAAATTCTTTCGCTTTTTTGTTTCCGATGCGATGAACCGATAAGGCGGATTATATCCGTTGTCGCCAAACACGAGCACATAATATTATTATTGAGACAGGGCGGTACTCAAACTTCCAAAGGGCTATAACTTTGTTACTTTAGTTTTACCAGAAAAATGGTAAAGGAAAAAACATTTCTTTTGATCAGATCTACTCACTGTTAAAATAAATGACTCAACTTCGAAGTCACCCTGTATAGATACTGAAGTACCGATTCTCTATATTTGTTTGTATAAAGAATTTTCTTATCAAAGAATGGCAATAAGTTGCTAAAACACATGATGCACTGATTTTCTCTCCTTACATTTATCATAGGAACGTCCTTTCAATTTTCTATTTTTTAGTCAGTACCAGTGTCAGCAAGCACACTATCAATGATGGCAATCTCAGTAGATCGTTATTTCACTGTTAAAAACTATAGACCAATAGGGCAAGCGGCTAATAGAAAACAAGTGCTTAGCTTCGCCGTTGCTGCCACATGGGTATCAGCTGCGATACTCTCTACTTTTCAGGTTAGTACCGAATCCATTTCCAGGGTAAGTATATTTTTACACAAATCTATTATGTGAAATAGGTAAATCGATGGTAGCAGCGGATCTCATTATACGCTATTACTAATGCATGTCTTTATGTACAAGCAAGCGGATCTCAGCGTCATGCGCCACGCTGGTCTGTGCCGTTTTGGTGATTAGAAAAGTTTCTGGACTATCGAAATAAGACAGCGCAAAGCGCCATCTATCACACCAGAATCGACCACTCCGGAAAGCGCATAGCTGCTATTAGGGGGATCTCAGTTCACGTTTAATAGTCCAGTCACCGCGTGACTGCTAGATGGCTGACGATTCTGCCGTTGAATAAACTAGTTTAGTTTAAGTTTCTGCACTCGCATACAGAAAGCGATGGATCAATAAGGCGATCCAACGATGGCAAAAATCAGTCAAATAAGTTTCGAGTTGCTTGAAGATCCACCCTTTTTACCACATTCAGCATCGTCTTTCATCTGCTTTCATGCTTTAAGAGGGTCAAGTGAAGAAGTCGTTATAGTAGATACGGTCTCCTCGCCATTGAACAAAATAGTTATATAGTTCCAACAGAAAGCTTGCTCGTTTTCGCTTTCGCAGTGGTCGATTCTGATTCTGGCTCTTAGTACTTATTACTTACTTTTTACTCTGAATAAAGTAGAGTTGATAAGCTTTCGTTTGTTGTCCAAAAAGACCAAGCCTAGAACATGCTGAAGAGTTGTCAAATAGCACGAAACAGCTATTCATGATTGACAGTCTGCGGTCAAACGAACAAAAGCTATATTACTAGTTCAAGAGATTATATTGAAAAATGAGCGTATTTTCGAGTATAGTCCAGAAATTCTAAGAATCACCTGCTAAATATACTTGTATGAAATAAATAATTATACTAGAAGTCATTAGGGCACATTTGAGCGCATCATGTTAATCAACAGTATACTAAGTGACATATAAATCCGAACACCCAGCTAAATGGTTTTATTTTAATAAAATTTTGTATAAGTACTTAATGAAGCATAATAAGTAAATGATAAAAATTTCAAAATGATTGCACTGCTTTAAAGCCCTTTGACCTTTAATAATGTGTGGATGCACCCTGATGTGCTATGCATTCTCCAACGCGGCTAGGCATGCTTCTGATCAGGTGGTCAATGTTCTCCTGTGGTATCTCATTCCAGGCAACCACCAACTCCTCTCGAAGTGCTTCTAGAGTCTGAGGAGGACGTTGCAAATTGAGCAACCTCCTACCCATCATATCCCACACGTGCTCAATTGGGGATAAGTCGGGAGATCTTGGTGGCCATGGTAACAATGTGACATCATTATGCTGAAAGAAGTCTATTGTGACTCTTGCAACATGTGGTCGGGCATTATCTTGTTGGAAAGTTGGATCTGCCCGGGTGTCAAGATAGGGTAAAAGATGGGGTTCTAGAACTTCGTGGATATAACGCTGCGCGTTCATGTTACCTCTGATGAAGATTAAAGGTGACCTGGAACCATAAGCTATAGCACCCCAGACCATAACTCCAACAGTGTGATGAACATGTCTTTCAACAAAAAACTGTGGATTCCTCCTTTCACCACGTCGCCTTCTCACCCTGGCACGACCATCGTGCATGCCTAAACAAAATCGAGACTCGTCACTAAAGACAATACTGTTCCATTCCTGATCCCAGAGTGACCGTTGTCTGCACCACTCAAGGCGATTACGTCGGTGTTCTCGAGTTAAAGGGAGGACCCAGTGTGGCCGGTATGAAAACAAGCCAAAACTTCTCATTCGTGGGTAAATACTTCGCATGCCAATAGGTCTTCCGTGTTCTGCAAACCATTCATTTGCAATGGACCTGGTAGTGGAGAAACGGTCCCTTAAGGCCAATAATCTTAGGCGGCGATCTTCAAGGTCTGTTGTTCTACGGCGGCGTCCGGTGCCCCTTGCTCTTTGCGTACGGCCTTCTCGAAGCCATGCCTGACAACACCTAACCACAGTGTCTACACTTCTTTGCACTCTAACTGCAATTGTCCGAAAAGAAAGTCCAGCTTCCCGAAGTCCCACTATACGGCCCCTATCAAACTCACTAAGTTGACGAAATCGTACAGGTCTCCGTACTCTAGGCATCGTAACCGATCGTAAAGGATGTCAAGAACCAAAATCCGCCAACGTTGATTCTTTACTGCGGCTGAAATATTCATTTTTAGAGCGTTAGTGAATTAAAAAAAGCAGTATAAAAACCGACAGATACCAACTGATAAGGCTGAAAATTTTTTCACTTGTTATTTACAGTAAGATAAATACATTCACCAACTTTTATTAAAATAAAACCATTTAAACTGGGTGTTCGGATTTATATGTCACTTAGTATATTTGTCCTATAGTTTTTTATTGTAAATGTATTGCTTTCTTAAATTATTTTTATTTCTCGTGTTTTCAAATCGCATCTTGATTGCGTGTCAAAAGAGTGAGCGGGTGTGAATCCTAAAAATTGATTAGTAATCATGTAAAAGTTAAACGTTCACTATGTAGTAATACTGAAAATGGTATCAACACCTCAAGAATTTTCCGATAACGTAAAATATCCAGACAAGCTCCACATGTTTTCGTCTTAACTGCAGGATTCGCCATAAAAGCGTTTTAACTTATCAGGGACTTTACACACATACCCATTACTTTATATGCCCGCAATCAAATCACTTTACAACTCCTATCCGACTGATCTCGTTTCTCGCGTTTTCGTAGGTAGTTGCTACCTAGATATACGGAGAGTTAAAAAACAACGACCAAACAGAACGAAGCCTTGAATTATATTTTTAAAAAAGATACAATTTTATGGAAATATGTAGATTCAATTATACGAGAAGTGAACAGGTTTCAAAAATGGCTTCTACAATACAAATCTATAGTTAATAATAACGTCTCTGGACTGGCTCGGAACATAATGTAGATTCGTTAAATATTAATCAAAGATACTAAAATATCAGGAACATATGTGGGATTCCGAAAAATATTCGAAAACCGTTGTTTTAAAATCCTAAGCCCATTCCTATTCTAAAAGTCACCAGAAAATGCAGAAACAGGCAAAGCGCGGACGATTTACATCTGATATTGTAAGATACAGTCGTCCTTCTTCATTGCCTCTTTCGTCTCTAGGACCTAAGTGTTATTTATTTACAAGAAATGCATGGCATTCGGACTAATGCTTCTGAATGTTTTAGGATCAATACAAGCCTCGGCAACTATTTGATAAACTTTTGAAAGTTGCTCACTTTAATCAATCATACGTGCTTGTACATATAACAGAGCAATACGCTTCAAATTGTTTGGAACTTCTATTAGCCGTACTTGTTCAGTATTACGGAACTTTGGATAAGCATCACCAAACTTCGTAAATTGGTTGAATATTCCGATGGCATTACTTGCCGTCATAACAATTGCAGGATTGATTTGATCTAAATGAACTACCCGCGTTTCTATATACAAGCCTATATACAAGGAGCGTTCCAGTAGTCACCTATCAGCATCTACCGATAAGAACCATAACCTGATTCAAACCGAACCGAATGGAGGAGATGCGGGTTCGAATCCCGCCAGCGCCCATTTTTTCGGCCTCTCAATTTGTTGTTTACTAAACACGAACAACAACTTTAAATCTGAACGTTAAGGGCCAAAATGCATAGTCAAGGTCTCCTTATTTTGGAGATGCACACCAAAAAGTTGTAAAGTATAATCTATCTATACAATATCTATCAAAACGCTCGCTGATCTCAAATCTGGGGTTAGTTTGTCTCTATGAAAACGTTTGAATGGCTACAGGTCGTTTAGGTTTTTTTTGTCACTGAGACAGAACGAAGGGTCAATTAACCTTAATTACGACGTTTCAAGATCAAAATCAAAATAAGTCTATCATTCGGGCCCAGACATATGTTTATTTCTGGGGAAGCATTTGAAGGCCACTTAACGGAAAAACTCAAGAAAGATGTGTAGTGGATTCCGACCACCTTGGACCTTGGAGTTTGATAGTGAGGTAGCATAGTCAGTGGAGTAGTTGGACAACCTGACCTTAACTAAGAGATCAGGAAGGCTCGACAGATAAGTAGCTTATTGGATAAGCATCTTGGTACAAACGAAGTCGGCAAAATGGCCAAAGGTGGCCTACCTGCCAGGCTTCGCCTCTCCACTACTACTACTACTTTTATTTGAGACCTTCCTATTGCCTTAAGTAGCGATTAACCTGACTTCCTTATGTCACGACTCTCCCCAAGGAACACACAGACTCATACACATTTCAGTTCTTATGTCTATAGAGGACAAATTAATAAGGCGGCCTCAGATCAAAAAGGTCATTGGTATCGACAACGTCCCTTTCCTCACCGCAAAGGCATCCTCACAATAAAAAAGCTATTCAATATTCAAATACTATAGGATGAAGACTGAGATCTGACTTGTGAGATATGCTGCTTTGTGAAACTTTATACTATATCCGCAGTGCTTGATGTGACTTCAATACAAGAGTATTATAGTATGAAAGTATTATAGTATAGTATTATAGTGTTATAGTATTATAATATTATAATATTATAGTATTATAGTATTATAGTATTATAGTATTATAGTATTATGGTATTATGGTATTATGGTATTATGGTATTATAGTAGTATAGTATTATAGTATTATAGTGTTATAGTATTATAGTATTATAGTATTATAGTATTATACTATTATACTATTATAGTATTAAAGTATTATAGTATTATAGTATTATAGTATTATAGTATTATAGTATTATAGTATTATAGTATTATAGTATTATAGTATTATAGTATTATAGTGTTATAGTGTTATAGTATTTTAGTTTGTGAAGTGTTTTTGTGTTCCAGGTAATCTCAAGGTACAAACATTCATGGAAGAAAAGTCTGATGTTAGTTCGTGTAACATTAACGCATATAACCCCAGCATGTACAGTACTGATGTGTCATCTTGGGGTTCACGCCAATTTGACCGCGCTATCACTGACCGCACGTGCCCAACATGGTGAACTACCTCTACCCATACCGCTTATGAGAAGACCCACTCATGTCATCATTGTTGCCGGAGTACCTAAGGTCAGTAGGTGACATAAACAGGGAACTGCATCTTGGGCCAGAAAGTCATGTTTCTTATAGTCGACCCAGATTGCTAGATTCTCACCCAGTCACCCTGAGAACGTTCTTGCTAGCAACTCCGCAGTCAATATACTAGCATCACCAACTGTGATCTTGTAGTATGTCGTTTCTCAAGGATCACGCTCATGATACGTAGGATATTGAAAACATGTTGAATTTTCTGAAAAATTGCCATCAACTTTTTATCTTTCGATTGAAAGTCGTTATGAGTCCAAAGCTCTATAGGTCGATAAGCAGGTTCCTTAATCTTTTAAAAAATCAAGATGGTTATAACCGGTTAAGTACAGATCTTACAACGCGTCCACAGATTCTGTAGCTTGGAAAATGCCGTTTGGATTCTGATGAAATTTTTATACAAGATTACGTCTATGCCAAGGACAACAAATCTTTGTAGTATTTGAAAATCGATCCACTTGTGGTGAAGCTACAGGCAAAAAACAAATAAACAAAAATCACTCAAACTTGGTTTTTTGAAGTTTTACGGGCTACTGACGATATTCAAAGAAATTGTGTGGATTAAAAATAAGTAATTAGAGGTTACAGGAGGTGGGGGAGGTGGAGGAGGGTAGTAGAGGGTAGTTTAATATCAAAAGACTAGTGTTAGTTGGAAATTCGAATTCTCCCTATTCTCAAATAGACATCTTACCCCTACGAGCTACGCCTTATCTTTCTCTACGACCGAAATTGGTCCATTTTGGTAGATGGACATAAACCTGGTTCAATTTAGCATGTCAAGTGAAGTACTTTGATTTAGGAATATAAAACAAGATGGCAAAGGATCTAGGATAACAAGCAGTTTTCGGCACTGAAGATTACTCAAATTCCAAGTTTCCATTTGAATTTGTACTTTAAACTTTAATTTTTCTTTTTTACTGTGTTTCTGCAGCCCAATATTCGAAAGCCTTTTTTGTAAAAAATTCATCCGTTATATAAAAATGCCAAAATTACAAAATTTGGGCTTTTAGGACTCGGGTACTAAAACGGAAAGAAAAATGTTAACACAAGTTTAAAATACATATATTACAAAATATTTAAATGCCAAAATGTCATATAGGGGATCAACTTAAAATTTCAGTTATTTCCAGGTCCGAAATCCCCGCTTATAGACCCTTATCCTTTTCAAGACAAATTCCACATATCTTTTGCGTCATTAGTTAACCTAAACTGATGCAGTTGTTAGTGTGTCTGTGGATTTCTCAAGGCTCTCCATAAAACGTACAAAATATTTGATTTCTGAATCCGTCGGTAAAAACGAATCAAAAGAGAAGTAAATATTTTGAAAAATCGTGTGCATTCCACAGAACCTACCTATACATCCCACAGGTTTTTTGGAACATTCGCGTTTCGTCGTGGAAAATCATTTGCGGTATTGATTAGAATATACTGGGATAAACAGAAATCCATTCTATTAATATTCCTCCTCAAAAAATGGACCGATGAATATTTAATTTTTCGCATTGGGAATGAATTCGTTTATTCCTTCAAATCTTCAAATTAAGGCTGCATAATAACTGGGGGGGTTGCTCAGAGTATACAGGGACAATTTTCGTTTACGTCACTGCTTGGAATTAGTTTCTAAGTCGTTTTGATCCTCAAATTTAAATTTAAGCCAAACGCACAGTGGCGACATCTCAGGGGATGCAGTGAAAAATACCGCGCTGGCCATTTTCCATTGCCATTATGTGTACGAGCGAGATATAGAGAGAAATACCTATGTTAG